GCAGAAAAATACTGTCTCATAGGTGACACCATCAGCAGTCAGGACTGTGTGATGCTACCTACACTAGGACTTTGAAGTTGCTTATAGCTGGGAAACCTGGCCTTTCCGCAGAGATGGGCCATGGGGCTGCTGTGAAGCAATGGTGACCTCAGTCACCTCTGAAACATTGCTAAAGAGTTGACCATGTTCATGCATCATGGACCCACCACCATGGGCTCATGACTTCACTTGACCATGTTGTTCATGGCCGTGTCTTGCATTTGAAGGGACAGTTGCAAAGGATGGCAGCAGGGAGCTGTTTGTGAAATATTCTTTTGATACCCAGCCCTGAAATCTTGGACCACTGTTGAGTGAGGCCGCAAAAAGGTCCTACTTCCATCCAAAATACCTTGGAAATTGGTCTCTGACCTGTCAATCACAGCATGCCCCAGAGTGCCTTGCTAGGTCCTTGGCTTCAGCCATTGCAGAGAAGCTTCATCAGCCTGGCTGCCAAAGTAGCCTTGAAACAAAACAATAATAAAAAAAGAATCCTTTTTATTCTGTGTTGTTTACTGGATTCAAGGCTTTAGTGGTCTGTTATTTAAGCTTGCAGCCTCCACAACAGAATTGCTGGAAGCCCTCTTCTGACACCAAGGTCTCCCAACTGCAGCAGCATCCAGACCAGCATGTCTGGGCAAGCCTTTTTGGCACAAATCCTCCCCAGTAAGGAAAGAACCAGTGGAAATGGCTGGAAAAGGTGAAAAATGGCTTGGCTAACCAGATCTTGCTCCTGCTGCTATTTGGCTATGCTATGCCAGCCAATATATTTGCTTTCGGTATCCTAAAATGTGGTTTTCGTTCCTATTCTCCAGAACAGTTCTGAGAAAAGGTTCTTTGTTTTCCCAAAATATCAAAGAACAAAAATTTTATTCTTCCTTCTTTTCACATAATCCCAAGTGTTCTGATACAAGGGCTGTCAAAGGACAAAGAGATGGCTTTAGGAAGGATCACCCTCTAGATGTAAGAGTAACCCAGACAAGAATCACCTTAGAGTTAGTCTCACCTTTGGAGGAGAAATTAGTGTGAAGAATCTGTAACCTTCCAGATATCTGTTTTCCCCCCAGAGGAAACAGGGAAAGAAGCGGCAGAGAAGGGAAGTGTACTTGCAGACAGAATTATCCTGACTTATACCCTGAAAAAACTAAAGCAGCAGACAAGCCTGTTAAAAACGAGAAAGTCAATTTAGTTGCTTTTTTAGATCTGTTAACCTCCTGTGCTATCAATAAGAAAAGTCCTGGAAAACTGCCTGTTGAGTAGGTGTTGCGGGAGATTGTCCTCCCCAGGAGGGAGCCTGGCTGGTAGCAGGAGCATCGAGCTGTGGCTCTGCTGTGTCACAGCTCTGCTGTCCTCCGGAAAAAGCTTTGATATCCCTGGGGCCGTATTCTTCAGCGAATATAACAGGAGCTGCCATGACAACCTCTTGTAAATAAAAGTGAATTGAAAACAAAATAAATCTGAAGCGGCTTTGTGGCTGTAAAGTAAATCTAAACTGCTCAAGAGGTCATTTTTTCTAATTGGAGATGACAGGAGTGATGTCTGGCTGTCAGATGGCACCGAGCGATGTGAAAGACTGACTGAGGAACAGGAGCATGGCAGGAAAGCTCACAAAATTTTACAAAAAAGACTTTGCATACTCTTAATTCCATTTAAATTAAATTAATTGCAGTGCTAAGAGCTGCAGTCTCTGGTGGCCTTTGTTCCTTACAGCAATGGTCATAGACTGTGGTGTCCACAGAAGTTGTCTGTCCGAGGTATAATGCAGGACTGATGGATATGGGGAGTGATGCTGTTTGTTCTTCAGCCAGGTCTCTGCAGTCTCAAATGAGAAGGACTCTTGCTCGTACCAAGATGTCACTGTATGCCTTTGGCAGAAGTTTTTTAAATGTCTCTCCAGAACCATGTGATTTTCCAGGGCACTTATTCCAAGTGCAGTAAAGCAGAGCTGGACAGCAAGAAAACTGTCGAAGAATGGTTTCAGTCCCAGGTTAGTGGCAGAACGAGCCTTCAATGTGTATCTGTTGGCGTAACATCAGAGCAGTCAGATACGTGATAAGGGCTAGGGTTGCACTGTTGGCCTGTCAAGAGTACTGTGGTGTTTTGCAACACTTTTGGAGCAGTTTAGTTTTGTTCTGTTTTGTTTTGGTTTTTTAAAGAGTTACTGTATCATCAACTGCTTCGTCACGTGCTTTTGGATGAAGAGGAACACAAGAAAGAAATAAATATCTAGTCTGTATTCTGCGGAGTTACATGCAAAGAGAAAATAAGCGTCTAATATTTCCTTGCTTAACCAACAGGTTGGAATTGAGAGAGTAGTATTTGCAGCCTGGCATTCGATATATGTACTTTTTCCTTCTGTAAAGGATGCCTTCTCATATAGAATCCTGTGAAGAAGTGAAAGATGGAAAGATTGTTAGGTAGCAGCTGCAATTACAGACTTTGTCACAGAACAAAAAGTACGATTATTATGCTGTTTGAAATGCTTTCCAGCACTGTATTAACAAAGAAAGGTCTCATGCTGTCCAGAGAGGTATAGCTCCAGCTATTTCTGCTTACAAGTCAAGATCTCCTGTTCTGCATGTAAAGATAGATGAAGTTAGAATACCTCCATGATATCTGAGAGTTACAAATTAGAATAGAGTCATCAGCTGGGTTTCATGATACTTTTAGACTTTAGAATTTAAAATATACATGTTTTTAAGCTTGGAACTGTAACTGGGAACTGAGATTTAGCTCCTAGAAAAATAGTTGTAATTACCTACCCCCTCCTGTTTTTGAAGGTTTCTGCTCAAAGAAAGAAGTTACAGTTTCGTTCTCTGCTGTTCCAGATTTTCTGAACAGTTTTTTCAACCCTGGTTACTAGATATGTGTCCCCTTAGAACTAGTTTCTTCTATCCAGTCTCCAGGCTTCCTAAACAGCAGGTTTTCTCCCTGTGGATTACAACAAATAGTAATATAGGGACGCTAATATGTGAAGCTCAAAAGAGGTTATTTCCTTGGTTTATTCCATGGAAAATGACTTAGCACACATCAGATTCCAGCTTCTGCACTACCAAAGATGGAAGAGGAAAATGTTGGTAAATCCTTTGGCTAAATTAAAGTAAACAGGAGGGGATATGTTTTTGTGTAACTTTCCATTAGGCTTTTAAACTTCTTCACAGAGATTCTTCACTTAAGTCCTGCGGTAACATATGAAGTAGGAATAATAATAATAATAATGATAATCCGTTTATTGGCAGTGTTTATAAATGCCATTTATGGCTGAATAATTTTTATATGGAATATGTAAGTCATTTTGATCTTAACTAATTATAAGAATAAGCAAATTAATACGGAAGCTTTTCTTTAAGGTACTGCGGTGCCTGGTTCAGCCTTTGTCAAATCTTGATAAGAGTGAAAATCTAAACCAAACAAATTGCCTTTTCTTTTGTTTTTGAGGTGTTTGCTTACATTTTCATTTGCAAAGGAAGGTGATGTGAGACAGAGACGTGAAAGCATGACAATGAGGGTGGTGTTATATAGTTGGGTTGGTGCTTTGTAGTTTGGGCCTTTGTAGGTAGTTCCTATTGAATGTGCATAGATAGAGCTGAGAGCATACTAATTTGCTATGAATACTTTGGTTTGTGGCCTAATGATTTGGGGCCAGCTTGGCCAAGCCTGGCTGCTGCTGCTTTTTTTTCTCCCTTTCCAACTTGGCATGAATTACTCCCATGTGCTTCAGTTCCAGTAATTCAATATTTTGTTCCTTATTTTTGTTGTTCGTTATGTAACCAGAATATTTTCAAACACTTGTAAGGATTATGCCTGAGTTATACACATTTTTGAGCATATTTTGGATTTAGTATGATTATACAATGTGATGTGATTAGACCTGTGGCTGTTCTGAATTCTGAAGGCAAGCACGCCTTGCAGAAGGCTCTTCCTGGCCAGTGCTAATTTTTAATTAAGCTCTATTTAATCTCAAATTAGGTTTACGTGAAATTGCTATTTATTTATGTTTTGAACTATTTTAAATGGGATGCAGATGTGGTGGTAGAGAAGCACTGAATCATTACATGGAAAGGGTGATGCCTTGCATCTGGGAGGTTCTGTGCTGGGGAGGTATTCCTGACATTTAGATCAAGGTTTGGGATCCAAGTATCAGTTCTTCAGCACACAGCATTAGGCAACTCCATGCTTTTGGTCATAGAGTTACTCATTATCTACTTTTCTGATCAAACAGATGCTAAACTTGACACTAACATAATTTCCTTATGCATGTAGAAAGGAGTTCTAAAACCCCCGTGGCTGGAACACGAAGTAGCATAAACAGAACAGACGGCAGGAGGTAGAATATAATTGCAGTTTGGTTTTGTTAGTGAAAGATGAGCATGTGTGCTTTTCTTATGGCTTTATTGTCTTTAGTCATGCAGAATTGGGTGCTCCTCTCCAATCTGTGCAAGTGAATTCGTTATTGCCTCCCAGAGCACTGTGTTGCAGTTTTCTCCCTCTTTGTTATACGTTACATATTTTTCAGAACATTGACATATTCTCATTCAGGTTTTGTTTACTGCCATAAATACTCTTCAAACTAAGATTGTACACCCCACTGAAGACAAAATAGGCCATTTGCTGAGCAACTGGCTATATTTAAACTGTAATTTTCTACAATTTTTTCTGTGGGATTTGAGTACCACCCCTTGAAAGTTTTAGCACAGGACTTTTGACTTTGGCTCTGCAGGTGCTTTTTCATGGTGATGTAGTGCAAGTACTGCTAAGGGCTCACTATTCTCTTGTTACTTACATCTGCTGTTGATTTCATAGCTAATGATCAGAACCTGTGTTACTGCCCACCAGCAATCACTATGGGTAAAGCAGTGGGTGCTTCGGAAATAAAATCATGGGCTACGATCACGGGATTATCTGATGGAAAGAAGAAGACGACATTAATCTAGGACATCAATTTTTCTTCTCTGTCCTGGCAGGATCTCAGCTCATTTGCCATGCCCTTCTTGGACGGTGATGTGGAGAGCACAGACAAAAATGCTTCTCGCAAGGTAGGATATTTCCAAAACTTCATCTTTGATGTAGTGGCTGAGTCCCTTGGTGGTAAACACAATATATTAGGCTTAAAAAAGCTGGAGATTTTAGTCTTTCCTGCCATACCATTAACCTGTTGAGAGCAATGCACTAGGGCAAATATAGTGACTTTTGCAGACCTTACCATGATGATGCTTATGGAGTATAACCTGTAAATGATGCTAACCTCTGGTGGTATTGCTCTAAATACTACAGATGTTGTCTCTAGCACTGTTGTAATTCAATGAAGTAATATTGCATAACTTTATTCTCAGGAATATAGATAGCCAACAAAATTTCTGGTGTTGCTACAGAAATACAGTGCCCAAATAGGCATCTGTGGCTGTCGGTATGTTTTCCTGGAGTTGCCTCCTGATGGTTGCTGTCTGGCTATGGAGGTTTTAACTGTTCAGTGTCATTTGTCTGTCTGTCCTTGGCACTGGCAAAATGAGCTCTCTTCATTTGCTGAAGCCATAGCAGTAAGGTCTTCCCATAAACAAGGTGGAAAGGTTCCTCCTTGATGTGGGATGAACTCAAGGTTATCCTTCTGGAGGCATTGCTGTGATTTGTTTTACCGATGGCCTGCTCTTAAGTTATACCAATACATTCACAGAGTTTTCTTGCTTTAAAATGATCAGGTGAGCATATTCAATCGATGACATTAGGGATGGTTGTACAGCGCCTATACAATCTTCAAAGCAACAAAAATTGTGGGTGGGATCTGTCATCTTTAGGTCCTGGCCTCATCATTTTCACAAAGTGTTGAAGTACAAGCTGTTCTGCTAAATGTAAGCCTCCTACCAGCCAAGTTATGGGCTTGATGAAAAGAGGTAGATACTACTCCCAGCAGTAGATAACACCAAAAGCTGATCTATAGCTACACAACAGACCAGTTTGACTTGTCACAGTATTTACAAGGCTATGGACCTCTGTGAAGATTAAACCTGCTACAGACCATTTGTCAAAGAGTCTGCAGTTATAGTTCAAGGCAGGTGAAGCAATAAATATCTCCTTAGCGAAGCTAATCTGCATCTAGAACAATAATAACTTAGATGACAGCACGAGTTTCTACTCCTTTGCACCTCACAGGAAGGGACAGTTGTTTAAAAAAATTTTGCAATCCATCAGTAACTGAATATGTTTATAACATTGGCCTTGTTCCTTTCTGTGTTGGACCTTTCAAGACTGACGTAGGAGTCACTGACGCAGAGGAACTCTTGTAGATGCCAGGGAAGCTAAACTATACAGTGTTACCAAAAGGTGCTTGTTTAGTGGATTCGAATGAAGTGAACAATGTGATGTTTTTGAAAAGGGTTGTCATGCTGGAAGAAGGCAGATGTTTCTAGCCAAAACTTGATTTTTCCATTTATCACCTCCTTTTCCCCAGGAAAGATGAGAAAGCTGCATGAATCTCAGTCCCGAAGAAAAGAATATACCAAAGCTAATCTTGCTCATGTGTAGTATTACATGATATCATTGAATGACTTCCACTTGACCATTTATGAGGCCCTTGTTTTTCCTCTTACTGGTCTTGGGAGTCTTTTCTGCTAAGTGCTTGTCTTAGGGACAACTGGAAAAACATTTCAGTAGTTGCCCCTTTTTACAGCTTCAGTAAATGCTGGGTTTTTTCCCCAGACTTGGGTCAAAGTGGAAGCGCAATTAATTTTGGAATAACCATGCGACTGGGGCTTAACATCTGAAATTACTTTTTTAACTGACCTTTTTGATTGAGTGTATAAGACCCAGAGTTTTTTCTAACATCATACTTGGAGCTCTGTTCAACATGTGCAACAAAGTGGTAAGAAACCAACTGGCAGTGCCCAACTTCTGATAAGAAAGAGATTGACTGGCAAAATCCATTGCCATACATCTCATCCTAAATATTGTTTTCCTCAATGTGAAAGGTGTGATCTTTGCTGCTACTGGATGATGGCTAGCATCAGACTGCAGCATTTTATTTAATTCTAACGTTTGCCAGTCCCTGCTGGTGCTACATAAAGAAGTTCCCAAGTTGCTGTTCACTTTCAAGTGAGATGGATTTTCTTTGTTCAAGTTTGAAATCACAGCGTGATGTGTAACTTTTGTATATTGAAAGTCAGTATTTCATCAGTAGAATGGCTTTTCCATTCACCGGTCATGTTGGAGACTGGCAATTCATCAGGGATGTCTCTCTTCCTGCACTTAACTCTTCTGTCGCCTGGGCTATAGATCAAAGTAGAAAAGAATAGTTCACAACCCGTAGTTCCAATCTGCCATTAATTTAATTTTCCTTTTCTTTGTGAAAGGCTTTTAGAAACTGAATTAACATTTTTCACAGAGATCCTCAGCACTTTACCATGCAAGTGTTATCCTGTGACAACAATCCTCATTACACAGCTAGGAAGCTCAAGTGCAGAATTATTTGTTAAGGTTCACATCAGAAATTTTTGGCAGAGGTGGGAGTGTGACACACATTTCCTGACATTTAGCCTTAATCACTTCTCATTAACATGGCTACTATTATAAATGATGTATTCTTCTTTCCTTTATGACCAATGGCAGGAAGGGGATAGGGATAATTTTCACCTTCTTCTGCTGAAGATGGAGAATATAATATTCTGAAGACTTGGGTAGAAGTTTTTGGTGTGATGAGATGAAGAAAGGTAGCTCTTGTGCCTGTGGCAGGTATTCTGCCTCTTCTAGCCGCCTGACAAAGTGCCTTAATACTTGTACTGGTAGCTTTGTCTAAATCAACTGGTATTGCTGGTGACCCCATGCTCAAAGCTAGGACTCTCCAGAAATGGCTTGAGTCCTTCTTGCAGAGAGGATCATTAAATGCAGCAGTATAGCCAAGGATAACTGAGAGCTGAGAAGCAGCTAGATTTAATGAATTTCCTTGGTCTGGGAAAAGGCAGTGGAAGAGGGGCAATTCAGAGGCCTGGAAAATCATGAATGATGTGGAGCATCACTCAGAAAATAATTCTGGTATGGTGTGGCAGGGGAGCAGTCAGGGATGAGTGCCCCTCTACACCCAAATGGTTCTATCAATTTTAGAGGTGTTAACACTTTGAATACTTATAGATCCTTCCTCTAAAATGTGGGTTAAAGGATAAGGTATGGAAATCGCAGGAAACTTATAGCCTCTGCTTTCAGCTGAAAGCCCGGGATTGTGAATGGTTAGAGAGAAGAAAATGACACAGAAAGAAAATTGTCCATAGGCAGCTAGCAAATTATAGATGGAGGAGGGAAGAGGAGGAAGAAGAGGAGTTTGAGGAATAATATTGATCCATTCCTTTATGGAAATAATAGAATTGCCATAAAAATATAGAAGAAAGCTTGGAAAAGAAGCGTGAGTTAAAAGTTCTTTTCTCTACATGGGGAGAAAGCTGGCGAGATGTTTATCTTAGATTATAGAGGTGACTGTCGTATTAATGACTGAAGTGTATTTAAAGCAGAAGATGCTAAAGCTAGGCATTTTAAAATTAAATCCAAACAACTCTGATAAAACACCCTTGAATGAATTGGCACAGCTTACTTTGACTAGTGCTATTTTTGAATAAATCTTAGGGCAGAGATGAAGTTCCAAAAGACTGCAAGAAAGGCAATTACTGTGTTAATATTTACAACGTTTGCAATTAGGATAATTTACAGGTTTGTCAGTCTAACATTAGTCTTGTGCAAAACAATGAAATATCTAATGTTGGATAGTTAATGATGCTATTATAATAGACTCATTTGGATTGAAAATAATAGTAAACAGTTTTTATTGAACAAATGTGGAGGTTTAAATGAATTATCAGTTTTGTTGGAAAATGTCATAGTGTCAGTGTCATGTATATGAAAAAGTAGTAGAAGACATTTTGATTTAAGAAACCAGAATGATACTGAGTAAACATGGAGCCTATTAAATGAATAAAAATCTGTCTGATAAATAAATTGAGACTCATCAGTGGAAAATTTTGTTTCTAGGCATACAAAAAATTCTGTTGCTATACTGTATCATACTTTATCAGTGACTTTAAAGAAATACAGATTCATTACTGATACAATTTGTAGTTCATACAAAAATGAGGAGGAAGAGAGCAGTAAATTCTGAGCAGGAAACTCTCAAATGCAGAATGACCTGAATCACTTAAAACACGTTTTGCAAACAAACAGCCCATCTCAGTTTGGCCAAATTGTGATTGGTTATACCTAGGAGCAAATAATGCAGACTTTATTTTGGGGGAGTCTTTCACAAAGCCTTGATTAGATTTTGAGAATAGCTGTAGATAATCAGCTGTACATGGATTCTGGATGTGATGCGGTGGTTAAAGGATTAATTTGTTTTTTGGATGTATGAACAAAGGAATAAGGCAAAAAGTAGACGTTTTGTTATGACTGTATTTGGCACCGACTCACAGTTCTGCTCTCAGTAATGCAGGAAAGCGTTGATGAACTAGGATCAGAAAACATTGGAGAAGCAACTCTGATATTGAAGGACTTCAAGGAGCGCTTTGTCCTGCTTCTGGTCCCAGCATTGTTTTTGTTTTATCCAGTGACTCATGGGAACTGCACGAGCAACCCCTGGAACAGGGAGGGGAAATAAAAAATACGCCATTTTTTGCCCCCCCTCCCCCGATAATAAATCTCTTTTTGATTCATTTTTTCCCAATCTTTTAATTATCCGTTTCTTCATGAGCAGTGAACTGGCCTCAGCAAGGATGATGGGGAGTGTGTCCTGGAGTGTGTCACAGCCTTGGCATGGGGCACCTCCAGTGGATGCAGTGAGCCTCAGGGCATGGACACATGTGCCAACTGCTGCACTGCTGTGTGTGTGGCTCCTTCTCATCCGCTGCTTTGAAATAAATGCAGTTAAGGGTTAGGAAGTGAACCAGAAGCCAGCCCTGCTTTCACCTTTCCTCAAGCCTGCTCCTGCCTTTGAGCAGCCCTGCTCGCTGCTGGAAACCTAACCCCCACCATCTGTGCAGAAATGCAGGGCTCTCGGAGCCTGCCAGAG